GTGCCCAAGATAAAAGTACCAGAAATTTCTAAACAAGAGTTGCCCGAGATGCCAAAGTCAGAAGTGCCCAAAATCCCAGAAATTCCTAAACCAGAATTGCCCAAGGTTCCTGAAATTCCTAAGCCTGCCTTACCAAAAGTCCCAGAGATTCCAAAACCAGAGATACCTAAAGTCCCAGAAGTTCCTAAGCCCGAGATGTCTAAAGTACCAGAAATTCCAAAGCCTGAGTTACCAAAATTCCCAGAAATTCCTAAGCCAGAGATGCCTAAAGTTCCGGAAATTCCAAAGCCGGAGTTGCCTCATCAACTTCCCAAGGTGGAGCTGCCACCATTGCCAAAGCCTGAGTTTCCTGCTGTGCCAAAGCTAGAAGTTCCTGAGATTCCGAAACCCCACTAAACCATTATTTCTTAAACAAGCACATTACTTATTCCCTTCCCTATATAGCTTGTATTGTCTGACGTAATAAATGGGTTTATACTGTTCTTGTGTGTCATTATTTATTAATATCTCTTCAGTGTAATTTGTTGTTACATCTTCCCACAGTGGTGATGTTGTAGTTTGTCATCATTATTTGATGAGTTCGGTTGAGTCAATGTTATTACTTGAGCTTCTTGTTGCTTGTCCACGTATTACTGGTTTAGTTTATACTGTATACCTGTAAAGACGAAAGAGGATACACACAGATGGATTTTGAATAGATGATTGTGGGTACATTGCCAAAAATCGTATCATAAATTATCTATGCATCGGTCCATTACTAAAAATTACGAAATCGAAATATCTCTAATTTTGTTTAACATTGGCAAAAAGTTCTTCCACATGAAACCGGATTAGTTTAATAAACGCCACCATCACGCTTGTTGGGAACTCCAATCGCTGGAGTTTTATATGCATCACCTTTCGGGGACAATCCTATTTGATAAACTTTTGGAAAGTCAGAATCTAGTTTGGCATTTGATGAATGGTTTTTCTTCTATCTGTATCTCCTTCCCCTGCTCGTTTCCATCTTTAGATTTTCTTCTTAAATAGCAGTAGAAGACAATTCCTTCTTTTGTGATTCTCTTTGGGCAGACGCGCCCGTAAAAATGCAACATCCATTAAGAACCGACCAGTCACGCCCGCAAAATAAGGATTACTGTACACTAATACAAATGTGGGGACCTTATCCATGATAAATTTTAAGCCAACAAAAAAAAATAGCAACACGCTTCTAATGCTCCATCTATAATAAGGATTTCTATATTTGATTGATTAAAAAAAACCGCGCAATTAATAAGGAAAGCAAAGAGCCTCTTAGTTTCATAAAAGATATGCTCAAATTAACAACAACGGAGGCATGGGAAAGATAATGGTAGAAAGTACAACTAGAGTTACGTTACTGTTAATGGCTACCTTGGCTATTACTGTTCCATGCCTCGTCGACGCTAACATCGGAGAATTCGATTATTATCTCCGAGGAAAAGCTAAGGAGGCCCGGAGAGTTGCTCTTGAAGCATATGAACCAAACCCTTTGAACGTCACTTCAGAGCTCAATATGCACGTTCATCTGTACGTAAGCTCTTGTACGTAATTGGTTTTGAATAGGAAACTTTAGGTTTTTCTTTAGTTTTCACAATAACACGTAATAAATGGGTGATGCAGAGCGATGAATGAGGCCAACATGTCCACCAATACCAGAGGGAGGGACCTGGGGGAGAGGAAACGCAAAGGACATTGCCTGACTACCAACCCAATCGACCGATGCTGGAGATGCGACAAAGACTGGGAGAAAAATCGCTTCAATTTAGCCAAATGTGCGATGGGTTTCGGCCGCAAGACCACGGGCGGGCTGGGTGGCAAGATCTACGTCGTGACAGATTCTTCCGACGACGACGTAGCTAACCCGAAACCCGGAACTCTGAGGTACGGGGCAATTCAGAAGGAGCCATTGTGGATCATATTCGCATACAGCATGGTGATCAAGTTGAAACAGGAGTTGCTGGTGAATTCCGACAAGACAATCGACGGACGTGGAGCTAATGTTCAGATAAAGAGCGGCGGCGGCCTCACTCTACAATTCGTCAACAACGTCATCATCCACAACCTTCGCATTCGCAATATCAAAGCTAAGAAGGGTGGTCTGGTAAGGGATGCCCCCGACCATGTCGGGCTGAGAACTAGAAGCGACGGTGACGCCATCAGCCTCTTCGGTTCCACCAACGTCTGGATCGATCACATTTCAATGTCCAACGCCGACGATGGGCTGGTCGACGCCATCATGGGTTCTACCGCCATTACAATATCAAATTGCCACATGACCAGGCACAACGACGTACGTAACTAATTGCTCGCTTCAATGACATGATAAATTAAGCAAATGAATTCATAAGCAAGTAAAAGAAATGAATGCAGGTGATGCTGTTTGGAGCCGGAGACGTGTATAAACAGGACCAGGTGATGCAGGTAACGGTGGCTTTCAACCACTTCGGGAACGGATTGATACAGAGGATGCCCAGATGCAGACATGGATGGTTCCATGTGGTGAACAACGACTACCATAACTGGATAATGTACGCCATCGGAGGAACGGCGAATCCGACCATACTCAGCCAAGGAAACCGATTCAGTGCTCCGAACAACGTAGCAGCGAAGCAGGTTACCAACAGAGTGAGTGCGCCAGAATCGGAGTGGCAAAACTGGCCGTGGCAGTCGGAGAATGACGAGTTTGTAAACGGAGCTTTTTTCGTACCATCGGGAAAACCTATAACCACATCTATAACCCAGAGGGAGGATTTGATACCACCCAGACCAGGGATCGAAGCTCCCGAACTTGCTCGCTTTTCGGGTCAGATCAAGTGCAAGGTCGGCAAGCCTTGTTAGCATCTTTAATTTGTTTTAAGAGAATGAATTGAAACAGATTAGATTAATCCTCTAGCTAGGGCCAATCGGAGCTTTAGACTCATCACTCGTCAGTGTTCATTGCGTAGTTGAAGTTTTTATTTTGAAAAGCTCCATCTGTTTTATTTATTTATGAAATAATTTATTTATTTTATTTACATTGACGTAACCATGTTGTAATTCTAGCATGTATTTCCACGCCCCTTGTTGTACGCTGCAGGTCAACTTCGTTATTCTTATTTGAAATTAATTGTAGACTCTTTTTGGTGTAAAAATTTCTTATTGATTTGAAAATTTCCCCCAGTTGTGCGCGTATTCGATCCAATTTAATGAGTGGGACCAAATACAATATTTACGTGTGTATTGTTCAAGCGTATTTACAAATTATATGATTGAAGATAATTCTTTCCAAAAAGTTCTTTCTTCAATCAATATCGTCATTATGTGTTGGTAAAAAAAAATGGATTTTTATTGTTATGTAAAAAAGATGAATTTTATTACGGGCCAAAAAAGATGAATTTTATTGTCAACATCATTAAAATCAAATATAAGAATTGTTTGTTACCATTTTATGTTGGTGTGAGTGGTACATATGGACCGTTAAAATTAGGAGTGAATTGGAAGAGATGTTTTTTTTTTTTTTAAATCTAACACATATCCACCTATAGGTAAAAAAATTGAAGGTTAATTATATACAGGAAAAATTGGCCCTATAAAGTCAAGAAGCCGAGTAATTATTATATGAAGTTAATTTTACTGTGCATTTTTTTCTCTCCCATATTACGTAGTGTTTGAGTTTTCTAAAGGAAGATAAAAATCACATAATTTGCATATATAGTTGAATGATTTTAAGGAGTCCATTTTTTCATACGTATGCTGTGACCTTTTTTTTTTTTTTTTTAAATCCCCTTAGAGTCCGTGCTCCAAAGACTTATCATCATTCCTGTTGGTAGCATCATATCTAAACATATATTCCTTGTAACTTCTCTAATTAACGCTCTCCTGTAATCAAGGGACCTTCCATCAGCAAGTTTGACAGAAAGACAAGAGGATATATATGTGTGTTCAACATCGAACAGCACAGAATTAACGGACACTACTATTATTTTTGAAGCACTTGATGATATTAATATTAAAACTTTTTCTGACATTGCATGAAACTGCAATCTCCGCTGATCAAAACTTCAAAACTGGAATATAATGAACCAAAACTTCAGAACTGGAATGAACAAAAAGTATATTTGAAAGGGAGATCGGATTGAATATGTGTGTGAGTGTGGTAGTTGGGCCTGATAGAAGCACGTATTTGCTATATTCCAGCCAGTATACTTGGCAATTTGGAAAGTAGAACAGATAGTTAGACGATACCAGTCTCTCAGGTTGCCGACAACTAAAAACTACATCAATATCCAACTGAAAATAACAGGATTACAGATTAAATGTTTTCTATTATTGCATTATATTATAGGCACCGTCGGACCCGAATCTACCTTCAAGGGTAGGGAAACGATGATTCTGATTATTAAGGAACTCAGAGACCAGCAGCAAAACGCTTAGGCCGACCATTTCATATGCCTTTCATCTATTTTCATGCATGTTTTAGACTTATGATGAACGATATTTCATGTATACATAGAATAAATTTCTAAATTAATTTAACAGGTATTTCTTATAAGCCATAGCATCTGTAACGTTTTTCTCATGGACCAAGGTGGGTCCAGGTGGACTCTGTAGGTGATAAATCTCTCTCTACTTGGACTGTCTTGGACCGCCGAGAGAATCTTGGAGTCTGATAAAGAAATAGCCACTACTTTCTTCCTGCCTTTGTGCGAATAAACACAAGCCTTTCATCTTTTTCCATCTTCGTCTATGTGTATATATAGAGATTCCTCTTCTTTGATAAAGAAGAGTGAATTTACAAAACAATTGTGAGGACCATAGCCATCCAAGCTTTTAAGCCAACTAAAAAATAGTCAGGCCTTCCGTCCCTCAAATCTATAAATACAGACTAATCCTTACAGTTGCAGGGGCAGAAACAGCAATCCAGGAAGCCCAGCAGAGAAGTCCTTAGAACAATAGATTATTGATCAAAATAATAAAAATAAGTAGGCATGGAAAAAGAAATGGCACTTAGATTTACGCTATTGTTAGCCGCCTTGGCCATTACCATTCCATGCCTCGAGGCTAACATTGGAGAGATTGACGACTATCTGGAAGAGAAAGCAGAGCAGGCCCACCGAATGGCTCTCGAGACCTACGATGCCGACCCTTTAAACGTTACGTCCGAGCTTAACATGCATGTTCACCTGTAAGTATGATTCTGTGAAGAATTTGTTATTTGTATTATTCCTCACAAGACAAAACTCTCATCAATTACTCTGTTTAATGTGCAGTGCGATGGATGAAGCCAACAGCAGTAGAGGGAGGGACCTGAGGGAGAAGAAGAGACGCAAGGAAAGATGCATAGCCACCAACCCAATCGACCGATGCTGGAGATGCGACCCAAACTGGGAGAAGAATCGCTTTAGGTTAGCCGAATGCGCCATCGGTTTCGGCCGCAAGGCCAAAGGAGGTTTGGGCGGTCCGATCTACGTCGTCACCGATGATTCCGACATCGACATGGTTAACCCCAAACCCGGAACTCTCAGGCACGCGGTGATCCAGAAGGGGCCTTTGTGGATCGTATTCGAACGCAACATGGTGATCAAGTTGAAGGAGGAGTTGCTGGTGTCATCGGACAAGACCATCGACGGTCGTGGAGCCAATGTTCAGATCAGAAACGGTGCCGGCATCACTTTGCAGTTCGTGAATAACGTCATCATCCACGACCTTCGCATTCGCAACATCAAACCTAAGAACGGCGGTACAATAAGGGACTCCGTCGACCACATTTCGGTTAGAACCAGAAGTGACGGCGACGCCATCGGCCTCTTCGGTGCCACCAATATTTGGATCGATCATATCTCCCTCGCCAACGCCGAGGACGGCCTCATCGACGTCATCATGGGTTCCACCGGCATTACCATCTCGAATTGCCACCTGACCAGACACAACGATGTGCGCACGTGCATGATTATAATCAAATCAATTGCTTTATTATTATTAATCATGATATTTAACAAGACGAGAAATAAAACATGCAGGTGATGCTCTTCGGAGGTGGTGACGTGTATCGGCAGGACAAGGTGATGCAGATAACAGTCGCGTTCAACCACTTCGGGAACGGATTGATACAGAGGATGCCGAGGTGCAGATATGGGTTCTTCCACGTGGTGAACAACGATTATACTCACTGGATAATGTACGCCATTGGAGGAAGCTCGAACCCGACCATACTGAGCCAAGGAAATCGATTCATTGCTCCGAACAACGACGCGACGAAGGAGATTACGAATAGGGTCGGAACGCCGCCGTCGGTGTGGAAAGACTGGCAATGGCAATCGGAGAATGACCAGTTGGATAACGGAGCCGTTTTCATTCAATCGGGAGGTCCAATAACCTCCGTCGACAGAGGAAGTTTGATCCCACCGAGACCTGGCATTGAAGCTCCATTGCTTGCAAAATATTCGGGTGCGCTAGCCTGCAGGCGTGGGAAGCCATGTTAGTCTTTAATTAATTGTTTGATGTTTTTGAAGTGTGAAACAAAAAGAAAATGGTTAGATATGAACCCTCTAGCTAGCTTCGATTGCATGTTTCGCTTTTATCACTTGAAGATGATGACGACGCCTTTGGCAGCAATATGCCTTTTTCTCCAATGTAATATTCAAAACAAATTTATTTTAGAGGAACCTACTGCTTTTAGTGTGATAGCACTTAAATTAAAGCACCTCATTTTTAGTAGGATGTCATATATGTGATATGTTGTTGTATAGTTACGTAAGATATTGAATTTTTTTTTTAAAATTCGTCTTTGTATATATTACTCATCAATATATAATTATCGTCCTTATATTGTATATATAATTTCTATGGATCTAATATCATAATATTCCTTAAAATCCCACTTCTTTATTTTTTTAATATTAAATTCATAAAAGTTTTTCCTCCCCTTTTCTCTCTTTCCCCTCATGGAGCCACTAGCTTTTTCCTTTCTGTTTTTCCCCCCAAACGTAGCCATTTGTCCTTTTCATGTAGCAGCAAACTAGCAATATGCTAATAATAAAGCGCTCGAGAAATGGCTAAAAAGAAATCTACATGAGTTTATGGCCCCATGGTATGAGGTTTTAACAGTTTCAGATTGCGGATAAAATCATAGAATAACAAAAATCTAAATAAAACACATAAACTTGCGTTAATCAATGATCATATCATCTTTCTCTTCAGTCATGCCTGAAACGTTTGAAACAATACGTAAAATAATTAGAAGGCATATAAAAAGAAGTGTAATTGGCAGAGTTGAAATGCAAAGTATGAAAACGTTACCAGCATCAACAATAACTAGTCTCCTCAAAGTAGCCAGATTTACAATAGCAGGAGCTGGAGCTGGTGTTGGGGTTAGACTGTCCCGATGATAGCCAATTTTGGGCACATATCAAAGCTCTAGTCATCTTAGGAGATAACACACTCCTGTAAGAATCAAGCACAAGCCCACCAATGCTAAAGGCTGATTCACAAGTCATAGTGACAGCACTTCAAATCTTTCTGCATTTTCTCTCCACCAAGACAAGATATCAAACAAAGCATCAGACTCAACTAACTCTGTTGAAAGATACCTGTCCAACTCTGTTTTCCAATGTGATGAGAATTTTTGTAAAGTTGATGCAGACCATTTGTTAATTGGATCATCGTTGTGAGATGATGGTACCTCTGATCTCTCAATATCTTCAAAATCAAACCCCCATATAGTGATTCTAGGCTGGTTACTTGCTTCAGAGTACTCATAAAATAAACGATATAAGGTATTTTTGACCTTTTGTTTCATGGCTATACATACTTCAGGATCATGATAAATATCTTCAAACACATGGTTCACATGGGCCAACTTATAACGAGGATCTAAAATCACCGCCACCACCAGCAATAAGTTTAAATTTTCTAGCTTTTCCCAATATTTATCATGCTTACTTTTCATATTCAGAGACATTTTCACAATAAGAGGATTAGGATTTAAAATATTCTTATTCAACATGACCTGAATGTGAGCAATCTCATGGAAATATGTATTAGATGTCGCCGGAACTTCTTGAAGTAAAAACTTCTGCGTACTATCATAAAACACCTTGAAAAATTTCAGGAACACATTCACATTCCTCCAATCGCGGTGCAGAGGTGGGCCAATAACATCCTCCCTAGAATGTGAAATATACGCCTCATCTTCATCTTTCATCCTATCAAAAACCTTTTGGAACTTCATGGCAGTTTCCAACATCACATATGTAGATGAGTAGAAACATCTAGGCACGGAAAGCTTTCATTCTCAAGTTTTTCCGCTTTGGCAAAACTTTTGAATCTTTTAAGTTTTGTAGGAGAGGACCGAACATATCTAATAGTGAATGGCACTAATGTTGTCATGCAAGTCCTTCAATCCTTCCTAAGCTATTGAATTCAAAAGATGCATGCAACCATTGTAGTTAGAATCCTGCGAATTCAAATCGTGCAATTCGAGACAAAAAAGAAAATAAAAGATTCGAATTTCTCATTATATTGTTTTTTATTTATGGCCAAAATCATACGATTCACACCAAAATCATATAATTCAGACAATGTCGAGTTGCACTAGATTTGACTTAGCACATTAAAAAAACCTTTTTTATATTATTTTTTTGCTATTTATAAGAGGCAATTTTTGCTACTTATAAGAGGCAATTTGCCATATAAATACTCCATAATGCACTTATTACTTTCAGCTTATTAAATATCAATCAAAAACCCCAATTTTTTATTTCCTAATCAATTTTGGGGACTATTTGTCATTAAAATTTGATATGTATTAGCTTTTTTATTTTTTAGGAGGTATATAAAACCTACTATCTACAAATTTTTTATATTCTCTTCTATAAAATTACTTATATGTCATCTTTAATGGATCTATTTGGAACAGCTTATAAGTAACTTATAAGTAACTTTTTAATAATGATTTATGGAATACGAGACAAGTATGTGAGAAGAGTTTTGTCTTGACTTACGTGAATCGTGCTTATAGGAGATTTTTTAAGCCCTTCCAACCAGTCCAATAATTGTTCATGAATTTATGATTCACAATACGTTTTAATTCAAGATTCGAAAAATTCACTTTCCTATTCACAATTCGTATCCTAATTTGATAACCTTGCATGCAACACATGACAATCCAGAAAACACTTTTCCAGTATCCTCCCAATTATATCATCCCTACGGTTTTCTACTATAGAAATTTCTAGAATTCGTTTCTGCAAACTCCATTGCTCGTCAATGAAATGAGCAGTGACACACAAGTAATTAAAGTTTTGGACTGACTTCCATGTGTCTATACTTAGGCAAACACGCCCCCAAGATTCTTTCAAATACTTCTTCAACTTTTTAACTTCTTCAAGGTAGAGCTTCCAACAATCGCTGGCAATTATTGTTTTGGAAAGGATAGGAAATTGAGGCTCCAAACGGTTAATAAATTGTCGAAAACCGTGGCCTTCAACTACTTGAAACGGAACATCATCACGTCACGTAATCTGCTAGATCTCTTCGACGTTTTTGACGTTTATATTTCTTGGGGACCATACTTCTTCCAAAACCAACCCCCACACCTCCAGAGTAAACTTGATCCATCCTTTCAAAATCACTTGAAAAGCAGAACTAACTTTCATCATACCTGTTTGAGTTTGCCATAAAGTGATCCAATATGCTTTGGGCGTTATAATACAATCATTAGTCATACATATGTCATTCAAATTTTGAACAAGAAAAAACGACTATATATGCCACTTTCTCACGTTAAATGTGGCTAAGATTTTGAACAGGCTCAGAAAAATAGGGGAAAAGGGAGATTCCGTGCCCTTGAACTAGGAAACATTTACAGCTCTTGGAAAGAAAAATAATTATCTGTAAAAACAACAAATTTTAAAGAACGACCTGCAATTCAGACTCAAAGGCTTCTAGTGACCAGTGCATCAAATTGCATTCGTGATTTCATTCAAGTTCGCCGGCCATATAATTAAAAGAAAATAACATCCAAATATCTTGTCAAAATGTGCCATTATTGGACAACACAATGGTTGACTGCCAAAAACCAGAAAAAAGAACATGATAGTTCAATGATGCTTCCCGATGTGAATAAGCTTATGATAATAGCTTCAAAATCTTGCATTACTTGTGGAATGACGAGAGAACAAGCTCGCTCGGACATACTTGGCAGCCGTGTTAGAGGTCCTAAAAGTATTGCTCGTATTCATATTGCTCGTATTCACACCATATGCACCCCACAAAAAGATCAAACTATATATACAAATCAATAACAAGCTATAAAATTCTAAACTGGAGGAAAAATTCCAAGTAAGGAATCTCATTTCCTTCTATTTCTCCTGGAAGCCAACAGAAGCCGAAATGAAATTAAAATTCAAAATAAAAAAGAAAACATTGCATCAACACTCCCAGCAAATGTACCTTTTTGATGAAGGTCTGAACCCAATATTGCTTACAAACCCTTATAGTTTGTGCTGCCAGTGCATTTCCAAACGAAACCAGGAAATGAGAAATGCGTTCTTCATTACAACTTGTCCAGAAGAAGATGTACGAGGTGTTAGAAGCAAGATTTTATTATCAAGATTGATATTCACCCACTACGTGAAAATCACCAATCAAGAAGCATTTTTTAATGGATTAAAGGTAACAAGGGATAGCAGAATATAGGAGAACGGCTATATGAGAAGGCAACTCATCTCTCCCGAAACGAGAATGGTGCAAACGATAGAGTACACCAACATTCAGGCGATTCCTAAAGTCACTATCGACATCAACAGTGGCAAATCCCCACATTTGTCATCAGCAAATAGGAACAACGGCAGTGAATGGCAAGAGAGGTCACCTGAGGCAAAACAAGCTTTGCTTACGGCAGTAGTCGACGACAGAGACTTGAGGACGGGGGCTGAAACTTCAATAACGGGTTATAGTTCTTGTTGCGTGGGGAGGGAAGCAAGCAGTCCTGGGCGGGAGTATAATGCACAAAACTAATAAATAATTGCAAATTTTATCTCATGAATAAATGATTATTAGCAAAACATTACTCTTATTACTACTACTATTACTACTAAATTATAATTAAACTTCAGTGTGAATTTGTAATTATAATTCGTTTAACTATAGCAAGTTAAAATTATTACTAGTAGTATGATAAAATATAATTTTAATAAATAAATATTTCGCTAATTAACTTCCTGCTTTCTCTGCAATAACCTTTAATTTTTATATCTATGCAAATAACTTTGATAGGGAGGTTATTTACACAATAAAAGAAAGATTAAGTGAAGATTACAGGATCTCAAGGCGTTAGGAGACTATGAAGAGGGAAGACCGAAGAGGCAGCAATTTCTGTTGCAATAACAGCTGCTGAGTTGTAACTTTTGAGTAGCTAAATCCTTAAGCCCACTGATAGAGAACGTAATAGATGCGTTGATTGGTTTGCTCTCCTTAATTT